TCCAAATGGGTCGCGACCTTTGTGGGCCCCGGAAACGGCAAGGCCGTTTTTTCACCGTTTCCAAAAATATGTCCCTTGATAATGGAAACGGGAAAGAAACGGCGACCGGAAACGGCAAAAAAACGGCTCCAGGATCGGAACTGGAGCCGGAACCGGTCCAAAAACGGCGACGGAACCGGTAAAAAAACGGCGTCGGGACCGGCAAAAGAAACGGCAAAACGGAACCGGTAAAACAAACGGCCCTGTCCTTTCCAGGGCCCACTAAGGTCGCGACCGACTTCGAAGCAGATCGGTCGTGGCTCACACCGTAGTTTGAGGCAGAACTGCCAGCGACCGATCCCGTCGGTCGCGCCCAGAAGTCAAAGCGGGCCGCGACCGACTTCGAAGCAGGTCGGTCGTGGCCCACACCGCAGCTTGGGGCAGAGCTGCCAGCGACAGATCCCGTCGGTCGCGACGAGAAGTCAAAAGTAGCCCATGCCGTCATTTGAAGCAGCACCGCTGGCGACCGACCTCGTCGGCCGCGACCAGAAACCGACATCGGTCGCAGCCGACGCTGACGCAGAAATCAGTCGTGGCCTGCACCGCATAATTGAGAGCAAGACCGCCAACGACCGATCTCGTCGGTCGCGACCGGGAGAACATGGCATCCATGAATGGGCCCTGGGACACACAAACACAGAGACACACTACAGGGCAGTTTTTGATACATGGGATGTTTAATAACATAGGATGTTTGATACATGACGAATGTATGACTAAATGTATGAATGAACTCATTGTTGCTTTTAACACTAAATCCCTGCATTTTTAATACATGATCCGCACGCGGAGCATGTATTAAAAACGGCACTGCAACAAGATTCCCAATATTTTTCCAGTATTGTCTGGGTTGTTGTCCCCCCCTTCCCATGTTTTCCGTATCTTTGGGGGACATCGACGATGAATTGTGTCTGTGTGTCTTTTTTCCCTCCTCAATCCAGTGGTCGGGAATGGGCCCTGGGACACACACACACACATAAATAGCCACACCAACAAGATCCCCAATATGTTTTAACAGTTTCTGGGCTTTTGTCTTCCCCCCCCCTCCCATGTTTTCCAGATCTTCGGGGGACATCGACGATTCTTTGTCTGTGTCTTTTGCCCCTCCTCACTCGGACTCCTCCTCCTCCTCCTCCATTTCCATTTCCTCCTCCTCCTCGTTTCCTCGTTTCCTCGTCCTCCTCCTCCTCCTCCTCCTCCTCCTCCTCCTCCGACGACGACGACGACGACGACGACGACGATCCCAGGTGGGCGGGCTCCCGCGGGCGCCTCGCGCGTCTCGGTCTGCCGCGCGCCGCCGGCGAACGCCGCCGGGCCGCCGACGGCCAGAGGGGGCGCGCCTGCCCGCGCGGGGAGAGGGGAGATGGACAGAACCCCCTTTGGTAGAACGTGGTTTTAAACCAGGTTTCAAACCCTTGCCGTCGCTGGGACGTCCATTCCCTGTGTGTTGTTCGGTGTTGTGCGTGTTTTTTTTGCTCGATGGTCCAGGATGGTCCTCGATGGTTCTCGCCGAGAAAAAAATGCACACGTCCGAGCGATGCCAGGAACCACGTGGTTGAAAACGTGGTTTTAAACCAGGTCTGGGCCTCAGGTCGTTGTCACCAAACTTTAGTGAGGACGACCCGAGGCCCAAACCTGGTGGGCGCCAGCCTGGAAAACAGCGGCCACGGCGCCCTCTCGAGAACCGAGAACGGACAATGCACTGATCGACGTGTCACTGTTGGGGGTTCTGTCCAACACCGAGGAAAAGGGGGAGGGGGGGGGGAAGGGAGGGGGAGTACAGTCGGACCGAGTCTAGAATTGTGTTGCTCCCATCGCACTTAAGGGCCACGTCCCAGAAATCATGTCGAGCACCTAGAGGAGCGTCGAAGGAGTGTCGAAAGAGTGTCGGGCGAGTGTCTCCCAGGGCCCGACACGTGGAACCCCCCGACTTTCGGTACTTTTGTTTTGGCGCTCGCACTCCTTTCTGGTGTTCAAGGCTAGAGTAGGTTGGAACATCATAGGTCTAGAAGAGCATTCTTCAAGAACGTGGGCCCCTCCATCGACCCAAACAGACAGAACATCCAAGGACACTCTCCCCAGGATGCACAAGAGCATCCGACGAGCACGGAGAACACTACAGTCGGGGCGTTGACCCAAGGAACCCCAAATAAGGAACGAGGCCCCTTTCTCCCATAAGTGAATCTTCGATGCCCCCTGGGAAACCTCAGGAAAACCTGAGGCAACCTGTTGAACAATCAAGAGACACCGAGCCCCTCCCCAGCGAAAAAGGTTCCTTCTTTAGTGCCCCGACTGTATTGGCACCCTCCCCAGACCGACCTCGTCCTCATACCCCGGCGGGCCGACTGCAAATCCCATGCTGGACTGGCCTGCCTCCAGAAGAGGCAATCCCGGCAAGAAGATTGTGAAACGCAGAGGGGGAGGGGGCCGCGCTCACCAATCGGGAGCGGCCAAGAGGGGGGCGTCCAAGAGGGGGGGGTGCAAATCATGACCGGCGGCATGTGCGCGGCCCAGCGGGGGGGCCAGGGACGTAATGAAATAAGAAGAGGCGCCTTAAAATCTGGGGAAAGATCATGGCCCCCGCCATGCTATCCCCCCCCCCTAGTCATCACCCCCCTCTTTTCCGCCCCCGAACCACGTGAGGGACGACCAGTCAAGAACCCGGGACGGGAAAGGAGCAAGGGACAAGGGACAAGGGCTGGCGCCAGATCTGCCCAGCAAACGCTCGGGAGGGAGGAGGGGCGGGCGAGCGAGCGAGCGAGGTGTCACGACATCTCGGAGATTCTGGGGAGATCCACGGTGGGATCGCGGGTTCTCGTGGGGAGGTTCCAGGCTCGGGGAGGGGGAGGGAGAAAGCCCCCCTCTGCTCGGACCCCATTTGAGCGAAGATCAAAAACGGGTCCTACGCGAGATGACGTCGCGACCTTACGCGGTGGCATATGCGGGCCGCCGGCGCGGCACGCCACAGTGGAGACGAGGGCGCTCACGTACGACCTTACGCGGGCAACTTACGCGCCAATGTCGGCGCAGACGACCCGTTTTTTGGCGTCGCTCATCTGCACGGCCTGGAGTCTCGGTACAGCAGGGGCCCGACCACAAGAAACCTTCCACAAAAAACCCAACCCTGAGACGCCAGGACATCCATATATTCTTGGTGGGAGCGTCACGCTCTCGATGGAAACGAAAACAATCTGAACCCCAGGAACCCAGGGCACCCTGTAGGCAAGCAGGGTGCTTCTTGGCATGGGTCCCCACTGTACCTTTTTCGGGGAGACGTAGGACTCGGGTGCGGGGAACTCGGTTTGGCCTGACGGGGCCATCACAAAAATGACGAGACCCGATCTGAAACTTGACGCAAACGCCCGCTGCAGATAGCGCACAGGACGCGCTCTTTAAACAACGTCGGCAAACCCGAGTTCCAGCTTATTCGAGTCTTACGTTTTCTGTTGATGGTTTTTACTTGGACCAAGGGGCTACAGATTAGCATGTACAGTCAACACGCCTCCAAGATGCAGGCGAGCGCATCGCCTTGCATCTTCTCTGTACTGCAGCTCGAGCCTCCATCTGAAGGCTCAAGCTCAAGCCAAAGCGGGCGTCCCCGCCGTGGCTCCCGCGCGCCCGCGCCCGACGCGCGCCCTCGGCTCAAAGGAGCGGCCTCTGGCCGCGCCCTCACCCGTCTTGGGTGGCCCTCAAAGGGTCTTGCATTCGGCTCGGACCTACCCCGTGCTGCTGAGAAGCGCGCCTAGGTGCGAGCCTAGACTCGCATCCGAGCGAAACGCTCGGATAGGCACCCTGCCTGGAACCAGCCGCGCGGCCCACGCCGCTGCAGCCAGCCCCTCACTGCTGGCCATGTGCTGGCCGCCGTCCCTCGACAGACGGACGATGAGGTCCGCCTTCAAGCCGCTCACTGGCAGCTTCCGCCACCTGAGCTCCTCCTTGAGCTCTGCCACGGTGGCCTCAGCCAGCATCTTCCCGAAGTACTCCGAACCGAGGTCTCGCCCTTCGGCGACCCGCTCAGGCGCAGCTATCGCCGCTGCCCGAGAAACGACATGCCCCTCAGGCGCGTCCTTCGACGCCGCCTCGGGCCTCGCCGTGCCGTCGGCCTGCGGGGCAGCCCTCGCCGCTCCCGCTGGTGGGGCAGCACTCGCCGCCCTAGATGAGAAGAGCTGCACCGCCCCTCTCGTGCACACAACTGCGCCCTTGACCGCGAGCACCAGCACGATGATGAACACGATCATGGCGAGAACGATCGAGCCGATGTTCGACTCGACCTCGTCGTCAGCGGCCGTGGAGCACTGCTTGTCTCCGTGCTCGGCCGCCTCCGTGAAAGTGACGCCCACGCCCGCGGCGAGCCCCTTGGTCAGAAGCCGCAGGTTGGACATCTCCAGCAACTTGAGCACCCGCTTGCCGTCCAGATGCTTGGTCCCCAAGTCGCTCCTGTTGCTCTCCGTGTCGACTCGCCCGAGCTGTAGCTCGCCGAGCCTGACTCGTTCCTGCACCCACAGGTCTCGTATCTGTAGATGCCGTACTTTGCCACTGCCGATCCGCGTCGCGATCGCCCTGCCTGCATTCGAGTCGCTGTGAACCTTCGACGCGACCTCGATGCCACACTGCTGGTAGAACTGCCGCATCATGATCGCACTCGCCGCGCCTCGGCCGATGGCGTAGAACTCGGCCTCTCCGCTGCTGAGCGCGACGACGGGCTGCGATGCCACCTGGGTCTCCAGGAGGTGGCTGCCAAAGAAGCCGTACACGGAGCTGGTCGATTTCCTCGTGATCTCATCCTCTGCCCAGTCCGAGTCCGTCTCGTAGAGAACCGCCTTGGGCATCTCCTGCTTCTCGTAGAACCACCCGAGCTCGCGCCGACCGTGGAGATACCGCACGCACCGCCTCAGCCTAAGCATGCTGATGACTGTGGGCTTCCCCATGTCCGTGAGGATCACCTTCACCGCGAACTGGATGTCCGGCCTGTCTACCGCCACGTAGTTGACGAGCCCCGCGACCTGCTGGTAGAGCTTCGCCTCGTCGTGCGGAAGTGGATCCAGCGCCTCCCGGACGCTCTTGCCCGTGGCCTTGCTCCCAGGCGTGTCCGCCGGCTTGCACTCCGTAAGGCCCAGCAGCTCCACGCACCTCGTCACGTGCTTCGTGTCGCCGATCCAGACGAACCCCTTGCCCGTCCACCTGATCTTGCGCTTGAGGTATGGGAGCTCGCGAACGCCATCCGGCCCGACACGACCGATGCACTTGACGTCCATGCTCGCCATCAGCTGCTGGTCCAGGACATCCAGGGACTCCTCCTCGCCCTCGGTCAAGATGTCGTCACCGTGGATCGCCGAGGTCATGTCCAAGAGAGGCTCGTGGTACACGCCCGCCGCCACCGCGATGCGCGTCCAGTTGTTCTTCTTGAACACCCCGGCCACGTACTCCTGCCAGGCCTGGGCCGCCTTGCGCGTGCCGTACATGGCCTTCCGGAGCTGCCACACGTACCCGTCTCTCCTAAGTCCTGGAGGCGGGATGACGACGATCCACTCGTCGAGGTCGGCGTGGAAGAACGCCACGTGGACGTCATGCACCGAGAGATGCCTCCGACCCTTCTTCGTCGCCGCCAAGGAGACGATCGCCCTGACGGTGGCGATCGGCGGCGTGCCCGCGTTGCAGTCCTCTCGGCCGTACGTGTTGATCTCCATGGCGACGCCTCGGGACCGGACGAAGGGGTTGCCGTCCTTGGCGCGCAGGTCCTCGACCCACTTGAAACGCACCACCTTGCCCCGGCTCTCGGCCACGCGGACCTCCTCGAAGACGCCGTGTCGCCGCATCTCCTCGATCTCGGCCTCGCGCCCGCGCCTGACCAGGTCCCTGGGGAGCTCCTTCCCGCTCCTCGCGTCGTACACGTGCTTCTCCGTGTCTGGCAGGACCGTGATCGCCGCCGGCTCGACGGGGCTGACCTCGAACATCCCGATCTCCAGCGGCTCGCAGCTCTCGATCTCCGTGACCGTCTCGAGCTCCTCGTGGGACTGCTGGTCCAGGCCTTCGTACGTGCAGGGATTGATCTCCACGAAGGCCCCGACTGCGAGCGACCCGACTGTGATCGCCGCTGTCTGGCGCGGCCTCTTCGCCGACGCCTCGCCCTGGTCGTCGCGAGGCGCCATGCTGGCATCCCCGGACGATCCTGGCCTGCCGTCTCCAGCCCCAGCCGCTGGCCCCGGCGCGGCTCCCGCCGCCGCCGGCGTCGGCGCAGCCCCCGCCGCTGCCGACGAGGGCGCGGCCTCCGCCGCTGCCCTGGCCATCTCTTCCTTGCGCAGCTCGTTCTCGATCCTCTTCCGGCACTCCTCGCTGTGCGATCCCATGCCTGTGACGCACCTCGGGCACATGGGGGTCCAGCCGTACTTGTCGATCAACGCCCTCGTGATGTACGTCGACCTCAGCCCTGCGCCTCCTGGCCCCGCGGGCGGCGCCGGCCCGACCATCGCTGGTGGCACCAGCGCCTCCGGGCCCGCAGCCGGTAAGGCCACCGGCGGTGGTGGAGGTGGCGGCATCAGCCGCTGCTGGTTCGGCTCCACCTGGGGCGCTCCCGTCGGCACGATGCCGATCTGTGGAGCCCGGTGCATGTCCCACGGCACCCCAGCGAACTTGTCCAGCTCCTCCAGCACGAACCGCTCGCCCTCCGGTCGCCGTCTCACCGTGCGCACCCTCGTCGTGCGCGTTGGACCCGCCACCAGGTGCTCGTCCGAAACCTCTGTCTTGCCCAGCCACACCGCCGCGTGCCACCGAGGCTGCAGCTTGGAGGTCGGCGTGGGGTCCCTCGCCCAAACGCACTCCGCGAAGTTGACGAGCTCGCCCCGATACGGCCTCCCCTTGAGCACCTCGTAGGTCGTCTTGCCGTTGCCGTGCACCGTGAAGCGGTTGAGCTGCCAGCCAGCGTGCCGAATGAGCCAAGGTAGAAGCCCATGCTCGGCTGGGAGCTCCCGCTTGTAGTTGTCGCCCACCGAGAACAGCAGCGCCCTGATCTGCTTGCCGAGCTCCTCGTTGGCGCGCTCCACTCCACCGACTCCTTGATGGTTAGCCCGCTGAGCTGACTCGATCATCGTGGGCGCCTTCCGCTGAGCCTTGATCTCCCTCGCCAGGGCCGTGATCGACGCCTCCTGGTCGTGCTTCAGCACGATGCGATCCAGCCCCCAGTTCTCAATGGTGGCGACCGCTGTCTTGACCATGTAGGCGTCGGTACCCTTCGGCCCCATGATGCCATGAATAGCTTGGGAGTTCATGTGCACCATGTTGAGGATGCTCAGCTGTCCCAGGAAGTAGTAGTCGATCTGGACCTCGTCGCCCGTGCGCTCGCGCCCGGCCTTGTAGTGCGGGCCGTCCGTGAACTTGGATCTGACGCACACCCAGCACCAGGACCTCGCCGGAATGTGCACCAGCTCGTGCGTCCTCTGCTCGGCCAGGCTTGGCTTCACCGGATCCTTCTTGACTCGAACTGGCACGGACTCCTCGAGCACTGCCTGCGCTGCCGGCTCGCTCGCCTCGGCCTGAGCGCGGGTCGCGGCAGCCCCTCCGCCGCCGCCGCCCTGGAGCGCGGCCCTCGCCGCTGCCCTGGACGCGGCTGATGCGCCGCCGGGCTCGCCTCCTGGCTCCTCGCCCCGCACCGGCATGACGAGCGAGTTCTTGACGCCTTCACCGTACCTGTCCATCTTGAGGTAGAACAAGTCGTTGCGCCTGACCAGCGGCACGGCGTCTGGGCCCGAGAACTCGATCGGCTTCGGGATCACGTAGCTCCCGCTCGGCGTGAACACCCACGACGTGCCCTTGTCGACCGCCTGCGACACGCCCAGCACCGGCCTCTTGACGTCGGCGACCTTGTAGTCCACCCCGATCTTGTGCCCGTCCTTCGCGTACGTGACGAAGCGCTCGCCGTGGCACGGGATGTCGTCGCCGCTCGCTCCGACCAGCCTGATGCGCTCGCTCAGGTCTCTGAGTGTCTCGTGGGCCCCGTGACTCGGCGGGCACACCGATCGCGCAGCACCCGAATCCACCATGACCCAGTGCTCATTGATACCGATGATCTCCTTGTTCTCGAACGTCTCGTGCTCGTTTGCTGCCCCTGGCTGGCTCAGCTGCTCGATCGGGCTGGCCCCGACCAAGAATGGCTGCCTCTGCTGCGCGTGCTCGTTTGACGGCCCGCTCGAACGAAGGTGGATCGCTGTCGTCGCTGGTGCTGAGGGCGTCGCTGCTGCTCCACTCGATAACGACTCTTGCCCTTCTTCCAGCTCGATCGCGAGGCACCATAGTGGCTCTGCCCCGCTTTCGGTCGCGATCGCCATCACCGGTGCCGCGCTCCCCGCGGCGCTCGCCGCTGGTGGAGCTCCCGTCGGCTTCGACTCCTGCTCGACCGCGTTGGTGCCCTTCTTCTTCTTCTGCTCTGCGAGGAACTTCCTGCACTCGCTCTTGACGTGACCGGTCTTGTGGCAGTGGAAGCACCGTTTCTCGGCCCTGTCCTTGGCCGCCTGGCTCCTCTGGTCCGTGGAGTTGTCGCCGCCCTTGCCCTTCCTGCCTTTGCCTTCCTTGCCCTTCTTTCCTTTGCCCTTGTCGCGCTCGCGCCTCGCCTTCTCCACCGCGCTCGTGTCCATCGGAACTGGTGGCGGCACTGCTGAGATGGCGCTCCTCGTCGAGATCACCATGTGCACCTCGTTGCGCATGAGCTCCCACGTGACTAGCCTCGACGCGTTGTGGACCAGGTGCGCTCGAAGAGCTTCGTCCTGAATCCCCCGCTGAAGGATCGCCATCTTGATCCTGTCCCCAATCCTCTCGTGGCTCTGGCTCTCGTACTTCGTGACCTTGAAGTCGAAGTCCGCCAGCATCCCCACGATGTTGTCCTCTGGGAACTGGAACGCGATCAGCTCTTGCAGCAGTCCTGCGTGGCGACCGGGTCTGTCGGGCTCGTACATGTCTTGTAGTGTCCTCCAAGCCCGATACCCTTCTCCGACGCCGACTGGCTTGATGAGCTGGAGTGCAGCTCCTTCCAGCAGCAGGACGAGGATGAAGTACAGCTGACGACTGCGCTGACTCGCTCCTTCCTCCAGGAGCCTCGCGTTCCTCACCTCCTCCAGCGGGAACGTCATGGCCGCCGTCAGCTCGTTGGCCATCTGCTCGTCGAGAGCCCCGAGGTACGCGAGCATCTTGAAGCTCCACCCTGGCCACTCGTCCTCGCTGCCTCCGAACGCCTTCGGCTTCGCTAGAAGCCGAGTGTCCACCAGATCCTGTGGCGCGGCCCTCGCCGCTGCCACGGGCCTGCTCGCGGCGGCGCCTGCGCTCGCTGCTGCTGACTCCGCCGCCAGGGCGCGCTCCTCTGCAGCCTGCACCCGTTGTTCGGCAGCCTGCAACGCTCCCTCGAGCGCCTGGAAGCGTCGCTCGATCTCTTCCATACTTCAGATCGAGCTTCTCGTCGAACTTCCTGCTCCTCAGGATGTCTGCCTTGTTCGACCTTGAGCCTCGCTTCGTCTTCTTCTTCTTCGGCGGCGTGCTGGGCTAAGAAGGGCCGGCTGGCGCGGCCCCCGCCGCTGCCAGCCGCCAGGGCGCGGCCCTCGCCGCTGCCCTATTGCTGGCGCGCGCGCGCGCCGCGGGTGGCTGGAAGGGAAGCGGCGGCGGGAACGAACCCACGCCGCTCCGCTACCATGTTGATGGTTTTTACTTGGACCAAGGGGCTACAAATTAGCATGTACAGTCAACATTTTCCCGACCCAAGCTAGGAGGGCCAAGAACATTGGGGATAGCATGTTCTCGTTCTGCAGGCGTATCAGACCAAACCGCCCACATCTATCATCCCTAATGCAGCGACGGGGACCAGGCCAGGCCACGCCTCTATCGTGCTATTAGGGCTAGGCGCTCGATCTCGACGACCCCCCCCCCATCCCCCCCTCGCGCCTCCGGCTCACTCGAGCCTCACGCTTCCCCCACTCCTGCTCCTCCGACACCGGCAGGCGAGCAGAACAGAACTGGGAAAAATCGGAGCACGGGTCGGAAGCCGGCGTCGACTCGGATCGGAACCGGAAGCCATCGACATCAAAGACTTACCAGCCTGGAACATATCCCCATCCCTATGCTGGGCAGCTCCTCACCACGATGCCAATCTGAGGGATCCCCTTGTTTTCCCATATTTTCCGATATTTTCTGGGTTTCTGTCTTCCTCCCCACTTCCCATATTTTCTGGGGAATCGACGATTAATTGTGTCTGTGTGTGTTTTTCTCTCCTGAATCAAAGACGAATCACATCGGAGGAATCGAAACGAGCCCTGCGGCTTGCTCCTCCGACGAGGCGCGCGGCGACCCTCGGCGAAAGCGCGCGTGCGTCGCCCCCCCGGCGGGCCCCGCGGCGCGCGGGCGGGGCGTCGCGCCCGCCGCGGCCAGCTGCCCCGCGCCCCCGGCGCAGAGGGCGCCGCCAGCGCCGTGGCCGCACGAGGGACTCGGCGGGGAGGGGGCGCGCCGCGCCCGCGCGCGCTGCTCCTCCTCCTCCTCCTCCTCCTCCTCCTCCTCCCCCTCCTCCTCCCCCTCCTCCTCCTCCTCCTCCCCTCCTCCCCCTCCTCCCCCTCCCCCTCCCCCTCCCCCTCCCCCTCCTCCTCCTCCTCCTCTCCTCCTCCTCCTCCTCCTCCTCCTCCTCCCTCCTCCTCCTCCTCCTCCTCCTCCTCCTCCTCTTGGGATTGTCGGCATGGGTCTCCACGCGGGCCAGGATCCATCACCATCGACCCAGACCCCTTCGAGAAATGAAAAATCATGACGGGAGGTTTTTGGCAATCTTCGGGCTCTGGGGGCCCTTGCAGAACCTCGGGCGAAAAGACGATTCAGGATGAAAAACCGGTCCCAGGGAATGGGTCGAGACCTCTGGGGGTCGACGCCATGAACAAAAATAAGGCGTCGGGAGTCTGGGGAATCGGTATACAGAAACCTTCCACAAGAAACCTTCCACAAGAAACCTTCCATCGACCTGACTGATGCGTCTTGGCGGTCCTGAGAATCGTGCCAGAACGCCATTCCTGGGACTTGAGCACCGCGAATCATTGGAACTGTTGCATTCTCATACTCCTGAGCCTTTCCAAATCACCATTTCTGGTGCGCTGAGCATGGGAACCCGTACCACAAGAAACCTTCCACAAGAAACTCTACCCTGAGACCCCAGGACGTCCCGCGATGTTTGCCGTGGGAACGTTGCGCTCTCCATCGCAAAACCATCGATCCTCCCGAACAAAAATAACCTCATGCCCGTGAGAATAAACACTAGGGGATAATAAAGTTCAAGGTTCAGGGAGAGATAATAAAAGTAGCCCAGCAGACCTCAGCATAATCTCGAAGTAAGAGGTGATCAAGAGGAGACCAAGCCGAGCACGTTTTGAGACATCCTTGGCGTTTAGTTTTCATAGAAATATCCTCAACAATGGCTTATCTCGCTGGAGACATCCTCGACAAATCCCTTGTTTCGCTTGAGACATCCGCAAACTATTGCTTATTTCGCGTGAGACACAGTCAAACTATTGTTTATTTCGCTTGAGACATCCTCGAAATAATTATGTTTTTCGCTTGTAATGTCCTCAAATTATTGCTGATCTCGCCTGAAACATCCTGAAACTATTGCGTATTTCGCTTGAGACATCTTGAGACATCTTGAGGACGAAGAAAGGAAAAATCCAAAGTTCCAAATATATCAATTTTAATTTACACGCGCTTTATGAAAATTGATTGTTTTAAGTGCTCGTGTAGGGTAGCTCATGTGCTTCATTTTCCATGGATAATCAACCCCAGGGATAAAAAAGTTCAGGCGAGCGTGAGGACAGATAGAAATATAAAATAAGAACGGGAATATATAATAATAATGAGAAGAGAAGAAACAAAGAAGAAGAAGAAGAGAAGAATAACGGAAAAATTGCAGGTTCCAACTCTATCAATTTTAATTTACAAGCGCTTTATGAAAATTGATGTTTTAAGTGCTCACGTAGGGTAGCTCATGTGCTCCCCTTTCCATGGATAATCAACCCCAGAGATAAAAAAGTTCAGGCGCGCGCGGGGATATATACATATATAAAAAGGAAGATAATAAAACATATAAATAAAAAGAAAAAACTTGCTGGTTTAGCTTGAAACATCCTTGAGACATCCTTGAAACATTGCTCGTTTCGTTTGAGTCTGCCTCCCAAAATTATTGGTTTCGCTTGACACATCCTGAAAAAATGTGATCGCTTCGCTTGATGTTGCTATATCAACATCGCTTGATGTTGCTATCTCAACATAGCGTTTCGAGGTGATAATGAAGTTCGGCCTCAGCGCTCGCCGCCCAATCTTGAATTTTGTATAGGGCGACGATAATCAACTCTAAACACTGAAGGGGGGGGGGTCCCTTTATTATCATCGGCATGCGGTTATCCTGGAAGCAAGCAGGGTGTTTCTTGGCATGGATCTCCACTATATGTCGGATC